AACAGATCTGAACTGGCACATCATCAAATGAGGGAAAGACTGAACAGCACAAGTGTGACTATCCTACACATGCACAAAGAGCCATGGAAGCAACAAATCTGAACTGGCACATCTTCAAGTGAGAGAAAGATTGAACAGCACAAGTGTGACTATCCTACACATGCATATAAAGCTGAGTCTGTTTGTCTCTTCTTTCTGCATTGAGTCTCTTTTGTCCAGGTGATAGGAACTCTGTATATGAGGTCGTAGAGCTGTGTTGACCAAACCTACACAGGCTGAGTAGGGCTAAAGGCCGTGTCTGACCCGGAGGACAAACCCTCACAAGGACCGGTACAGACCGGCGGGCTGCTCAATGTGGCATGGTAGGCCCAAAATCCAAGTTGTGGGCTGCACAACCAGTTGTCTAAGTCTTGAGAGGACTTGCTGATCACGTCGTCCTATCTGCGATGTTAAAGAATTCCTGAGGAGTTATTTTTGAAGTCCTGTAGTGACAACTTTATCATTAGGTCCAGGCTAGAGACCATAGCTGACAGGGTCCTATACGGATTCTGTAGTCTTTAGAGAGTCAGTCAGTTAGTCAAGGGGTGGAAGTCTACGTGGTGAGGAGTGGAGTTGTCATTTAGTTGTGCACCTTTCACCATGGTGGACACGCGAGGCGGTAAGAGCACCACCCCATACATGGAAGAGCAGGAAGAGAGGGTCGCCGCCATACTGAAGGAAAGAAAGGAGAAGGAGGCCAAGAAGCAGGCCCTATTGGAGGAGCAGGCGACGAAGAAGAAGCTCGAAAAAGAAATGGAGAGGTTAAACAGGGAAGAGGATGAGAAGCTTAAGAAAGTAGAAGAAGAAGAAGAAGAAGGAGAGGAGATACCACTGGTACGGAGTGTGAGGAGAGAGGAAAGGGGGGAATCCAGTGGGATTAGTGAGGAGGAGAAGAAACTGGAGAAGGTGTCAGAATGGGTGGCCAACGTCTCCCTAGGGGAAAATGAGGAGGCATTGATGTACATTCCCCAGGATGAGAGGGAGGTTGTTGTGGCAAAAATACAGGCCCTGACTGATCCTTTACAGTGGCAGGCCCTGGAAGAGGAAAAGAGAATGGAGTGGAAGTTGCGACTGAGGAGTCAGAGAAGAAGCCACGGCGACAAAGTTAGAGAAGGAATTGGCTGCCACAGCAGAGCAGCATACCATGCGCTGGCCCAAGGGGACTTATAGAGCAAAGTGGATGCTATTGCAAAGAGTGTACATGTACTTATTCGCGCCCAACAGGAGCAAATGCATTCCTCAAGGGGCCATGACATAGCCCTGCAGTCCATACGAGTAGGCTTTCTAGATTCTGCTCACGGTGTGATGATGCGTATGGGCTCTGAGATGCAGGCCTGAATGAACACATAAAAATTATGTGTTGGCTCTATAGAGGGCGCCAAGCTTGCGGTCCCAAAGGAAGAGGAGGCACGCCCACGTAAGGAACGTGTAAAAGTAAAGTTTCCTGATGCCTACAACGGGAAATAGGGAGAAGACTTTGATAATTGGGAGGCAAACATAAACTCCTACGTGCACCTCCAGGATATTATCCCTGAGGAGCAAGTCCTTGTCGCATTCCATGCCCTTAGGGACGAAGCGTCTAGTTTCGCCAGGTCATTAGCCCGCGCCACCTAGTGTGACAATGGCATGGTGGCGTATTCTACCATCACTCCCCTCAACGAATTCCTCAAGTTACTTTGCGAACGTTTCGCGGATGTAACTAAGGGAATCAAAGCGCCAGACAAACTTCAAACAATCCACACACGTTAGTGGAAGAGTGCAAGGTCACTCAAGGGTTCCATGGATGAGCTTGTCGCAGTCCCTAACGATGGGGTCATTGAGCCACAGTTGGTTCAGCTATTCTTTTGTGCGATGCCCGAGAGTTTGCACGGGCACTTCTATGATAAGTTGCAAGAGCAAGGGATAACCTATGATAAATTGAATCGCAACGTTGTTGCTTATGAGGCCCAATCCACGCCAGTCACTGCCTTTTGGCATAGAGATCTTGACAAGGGTAAGAAGTGGAAGGGCCGGACCATTTCAGGGCAGGTTAAAGGGAAGGATAGCCTGATCTTGACATTAGACGAGGGAGGAATGGAGGAGGCCGGGGCCAAGGGGGCCGGGCCTCTGGTGGTCGAGGGCAGGACGATCAGGGGGTTGGCGGCAGGGGAGACCGCCAGGAGGGAGGTAGGGGTCAAGGTCCCCTGCAAACCTGTCCTCGTTCCAATCGATCACCTCCCAGGAGGGGTGGATGGCACCCTGGCTTGCCACAAGGCATGCCCTGGGAAGATATGGGCCTTGATCAGAAAGTATGGCAGAACAGGATAGACCAGGATCAGTGCATCTATTGCGGTGATCCAGAGCATATTATTAAATACTGCCCTAAATATAGAGAGGCCCGGTACGCTGCATAGGCAGCAAAAGGCAACCGCCTGTAGGGTCGCAACTGCCCTTACCCCTAGACCATGTCGAGAAGAGTGCGCGCACCACAGAGAAACTCCCAACCCACGTGTCTATGGCAGAGGTTGCCAGCCAATGCCTAGAAAGTTGTCCAGAGATTGCTTGCGTTAGGATCTCTCTAGGCACTTCCCTTACATGCGTGGCAGAAGAATTGAAGGAGAGAATGTCTGTTTGGGCCAAGATGAAGAAGGATGGAAAAGGACAACTAGTATTAGTAGGTGTAGAGGTTTTTAGAGGCAGAGTACGAGCCCTTATAGATAGTGGGGCCACCCGTAGCTATATCATCCGCAAAGCGCTACAGAAGCTGAAGCTGAATTTGAAGGCCCAAAAGTTGGAGGAACCTATAGTCAGCATCCTCGCAGACAATCGCACGATGCGAGTCGAGGATTATGTCGATGGAGTCCAACTTTATTTTCGCCTAGAGAAAGATGGGAAGGTAGAGAGAGTTCTCCATTCCCTGACTCTCCTCGTAGAAGATAACCTCCCTTTTGATATAGTCCTAGGAATGGATTGGGGAGAGGCAGCAGGGGCCACACTCCACTTGAGAGAGCATGAGTGTAGGCTCCCTAGCCCATCAGGTGAAGTCAAGATTGCTCATCTGTTCCATGTGTCAGGGATAAATAACCCCTTAGCACATTGCTGCCTCAGCACTCCTGCGTTCGCAAGATTAGTGAAAAAGGAGCAGATAGAAGAACAGGTCTTCGTAGCCTATGTTAGGCCAGTCACTGAGCCTAAAGTCGAAGAGCCTATAGACCTTCGTATTTCCAAGCTGGTGGAGGAGTATGCAGATTTGTCTGGGCTGCCTACAGGAGTAGTATCGCGACCGATCCATCATCGTATTGAAATTGAGCCTGGCAGTAGAACTCCCAAAGGAGTTGTGTATAGAATGTCTCCAAGGGAGTTGGAGGAGTTGCGGAAGCAGTTAGATGAGCTCCTCGAGAAGGGTTGGATTAGGCCCAGTTCGTCTCCTTTTGGAGCACTTGTTCTGTTCGTCCCCAAAAAGGAGGGAGAATTGAAAATGTGCATTGACTATAGGGGTCTCAATGCCATCACAGTGAAGAACATAGAACCACTACCCCGTATAGATGATTTGTTAGATCGGGAATAGGGCTGCAAGTACTTCTCTACGATAGATTTGAAGTCAGGCTATCATCACATAGAGGTCCATCCTGATGATCAGTACAAGACGGCGTTCATGACCAGATATGGGCAGTATGAGTTTATAGTGATGCCCTTTGGACTAACCAACGCGCCAACTACGTTTCAGCGTTGTATGATTGATTTGCTTAAGCTGTGGTTAAATAGATTTGTAGTTGTATATCTAGATGACATCCTAGTGTTTAGTAAGACCCTCCAAGAGCATGAGGGTCATTTGAGGCATGTTTTGGGGAAGCTGAGAGAAGATAACTTCAAGATCAACGTGAAGAAGTGTGAGTGGGCCAAGACATAGGTTTTATACCTGGGCCACGTCCTAGATGGAGATGGCATAAAAACTGAGGACAATAAGATAGCAGTGATTAGAGACTGGCCAACTCCCCGCACGCTGAGGGTTGGCAAATTACTATAGAAAGTTCGTCAGGAACTTTTCCACCATCGCTGCTCCCCTTCGTAGGTTGTTAAAGAAAGAGGCAACCTGGAAGTGAGACAAAGATTGTACATCAGCCCTGAAGAAGTTAAAGTGGGCCTCGATAGAGTACCCAGTCCTCAAGGTATCCGAGCCGTCTTTGCCCTTCGTTGTTACCACTGATGCAAGTCAGTATCGTATAGGTGTTGTTTTACAGCAAGACGATGGCAATGGATATAGACCCGTAGAGTTCATGTCTGCTACAATGCCTTCGGAAAAGGTACCGACATCCACCTATGAGAGGGAACTCTACGCTCTCAGGCAAGCATTATATCACTGGAAACACTACTTGCATGAGAAACACTTCAGACCACGAGACGTTAAGGTGGCTGAAAACACAGGCCAAGATGACACCTAAGCTTACTAGGTGGGCCGCAGAGATAGATCAGTACGACTTTGAGCTCAAACCGGTCAAGGGGAAATACAATGTAGTTGCGGACGCCCTGAGTAGGAGAGCAGATTACTTTGGAGCAATAGTGCATTATCTGGATATAGGGAGAGACCCGCAACAAAAAGTCAAGGAAGCGTATGCGCAGGACCTCCTCAAAAGAGTTAAGGAGGCTTCAAAATCGGAACCAGACTACCGCACTATAGATGGCTTATTGTTCGAGAAGACTAACGTAGTGGACCGATTGTGCATTCCCAACAGTGAAGAGATCCGAAGTCCGATCTTAGGGGAATGCCATGATATCGAGGGACATTTTGGTTGGCAGAAAACATTAGCCAACCTTATGTGCGCGTATACTTGGCCTGGTATGAAAGCCAACTGCATAGAGTATGTACGCAGTTGTAAAGTATGTCAAAGGAATAAGACTACTACGTGAGCCCCTCTAGGTCTTCTCGTACCCTTGCTTATCCCCGAAGGACCCAAAGATTTTGTGTCCATCGACTTTATGGACGCAGGCGTCAGGAGTAGGCATGGCAAGAGCCAAGTCATGATCATAGTTGATAGGTTTAGCGAATATGCGATTTTTGTTTCCTTGCCCCCAGAAGCATGCACAAATTTAGTGATACAGAAGTTCTTTGGTCAGTGATCGTGGGCTACCGCTGTCTATAGTTAGTGATAGAGATACCCGGTTCACTAGTCAGAACTGACAAGAACTAATGAAAGTCTACTGGTCTAAGTTGCTAATGTCATCTGGTCATCATCCAGAGGCCAATGGTTAGACTGAGCAGATGAACAAAGTCCTGCAGCAAGTCCGGAGAATGTATATTAGACCCGACCAAGTTAACTGGGAAGAGATGCTCCCAAAGGTACCCACCACGTACAACAATAGTGTGCACTTAGCAACTTGTCGCACTCACAACGAACTGCGTAAGTCCTTTAGACCACGCAGACCGTTTGAGGGACTTAAGCGGGATCAGATTCAGAGGCTATCGCCCAATACTACCGGGAATTTGCGATACAACACGAAAGGGAGATTGCTACAGCAGTTGAGAACCTCAGGAAGGCCCAACACCGAATGATAGAGCAAGCCAATAAGCACCATCGCCCTTCACAGTTCCAAGTGGGCGACTTAGTCTGGGTCAAGTCTAAAGATTTTGCTGCTGAGGAGAACATCTCACAAAAACTGTTACCTGCGTACAGGGGACCGTGGCCAATCCTAGAAATCAAGGGCGGAGAAGATGGGTTGTCCTACACGATGGAGATTCCAACACACCTCCACACCTACCCAGTGTTTCATGCATCAACGTTATTGCCTTGTAACACAAGTCAGCAATTTCTATCACGGAGGTCTATGATCCCCCCGAATATGGATGGAAGGTACGACATTGATGGCTTAGTGGGTGAAGATGTCTTTAGAACAGGAGGTAGAGGTCGTCCACAGAAACAATACGAAGTCAGATTTTCCTATCAAGAAGCTGAAGATGACTGCTGGTTCACCAGAATAGAGCTTCTGGAGACAGCTCCTGATGTAGTCCAAGCCTATGAGAGAGATAAGAAACGTAAAGGTACTGCTTTGGACTGAAGTATTCTTGGAGGACCTCGAATTTAGGCCGACGGGAGTGAAACGGTTTTCACCTTAGCACTAGCAGATGC